ACCCTTAAAGGAACCCTATATTGGTACTTTGGACGCTTTGGGCAGGTCGTTTTTGGTTGAGTGCCTCGGGCTTCGGGTCCCAACTGGGATCCGATCGTCCCATGCCATGATCCTCGTTTAGTACTCTTAGGAATCATGCTTCATTTTGATTGTAGTATGACTCCAAGGGATGTTACAGAATCTTAGTAGCTCAGTAGGTTTATAGAATCCTACGTACGCCTACCATAATCAACAAGGTTGACCGGTTCTCGGCTAGGGCAGACAGTAGCGCCCAGCCATGTCTGACGAAAGCAGGAGCCAACAAAACACAGGAAAGCATGTCTTAAACCAAACAAGCCCAGAGCTGGGATACAGGTGAACACTCGAGACCGTCTAGCCCTACTCCGTGACATCTTAAATCCTAGACTGCAGAATCTAAAGATCCGAACCATGAGTATCAAATGCCGCAGCTGCCCTCAAGTTGAAGGCAGAGAGAGAGTAATGGGCTGAATGTAAGAGCTTGGATTCTGAGTTTATGCCTGATTTTGGCTTGTAGCGTTTTGAGGGGGTAACCTTTTTCCTATCATAGTTGAAATTGAATTCAACCATAAACCCAGCCCCCGAGTCCTATAATTCTCGCCGAGACTCCAAGCCACTTCTTAAGCTGCACAGGCCCCGCAGACTGCGCCCCAACGCGGTAGTAAACCGCGACTGCAACAGCTCCATTAAAGCCCTAGGTTGCATGGAATACACAGTCATTGATGTGCGCATGTGTAGTGTATGGGGGTGCATATACACATACATATAATGTAACGGCCCGTTTAATAGTGGGGTACCCCCCCCCCCCCCCCCGACCAAAAAAAAAATTCTATTTAATATGGAACCGGTAGCCCCGGACAGGGGTCAGGGGTCGGTCTGAGTGGCAGGGAATTGGGAGGTGCCGGGATTTGGGGGCTGGCTTGGGTGCAGGGTCTGCGGTTCTGCGCGACTGCGCGGTCGGGGGTTGGGGGGGTCTGGGCCAGCGCCTGAAACCCTGAACCCTGAACCCTAAACCCTAACGAATCCTAAACTCCTAGACCCTATAACAAACCCTAAACCCTAAGCCCTAAACCCTTCCAAAGGGGGGTCGGTCCAGATTCGACCCAAAACTTAATTTTTTATACAAACTTTAGTACTGGAGAGGCCTCTTTTGAGCTAGGGTCCAATCCCCGATTCGGCGGTTCACCCTAGCAGCCCCCCCCCAATAATCAAGGTATAGTAGAATAGTAGTACACTAGTAGTACAGTAGTAGTATAATAATAGTGCAGTAGTACAATAGTAATACAACAGTAGTACAGTGGTAGTACAATAGTAGTACAGTAGTAGTACAATAATAGTACAGTAGTACAATAGTAGCACAATAGTAGTACAGTAGTAGTACAGTAGTAGTACGATTATAGTACCGTAGTACAATAATAGTACAGTAGTAGTACAGTAGTAGTGCAATAATAGTGCAGTAGTACAATAGTAATACAACAGTAGTACAGTGGTAGTACAATAGTAGTACAGTAGTAGTACGATAACAGTACAGTAGTACAATAGTAGTACAGTAATCGTACAGTAGTACAATAGTAGTACAGTAGTACACTAGTAGTACAGTAGTAGTACCACAGTAGTACAGTAGTAATACAGTAACAGTACAGAAATAGTACCAATAGGCAAAGCATAAAGCCAGTGAGTACATTCCCCCAATAAGCAAAGCATAAAGCCAGCGCCTGAAACCCTAAACCCCGAACCCGAAACCCTAAAGAATCCTACACTCCTAAACCCTATAACAAACCCTGAACCCTAAGCCCTAAACCCTTCCAAAGGGGGGTCGGTCCAGATTCGACCCAAAACTTAATTTTTTATACAAACTTTAGTACTGGAGAGGCCTCTTTTGAGCTAGGGTCCAATCCCCGATTCGGCGGTTCACCCTAGCAGCCCCCCCCAAAAATCAAGGTATAGTAGAATAGTAGTACAGTAGTAGTACAGTAGTAGTACAGATTTTCATTCCTGACGCCCCAATAAGCGAAACAATTCTGCAAGAGATTTTCGGGCTTCAGGGCCAGGGTTTTAGGGTTGGGTGGGGGTTGGGGTGGGGGTTTAGGTCGTGGCTGCCTTAAGATTGACCATCAGCAAATAGCACAGCCCCGCCACCAAAAAATCACCCCAGCCAAAAACAAAACGCATTAATTAGAACACGCCAAATTTTTTGTCAGATTCGGAATTAGCCCCGGAGCCGACGCATTAAAGGAGCCCATATTCCTAAACGGACCGTTACATTACATACATGTATATATGCATATACAATGTGTATATATATATATATATATATATATATATATATATATATATATATAATGTGTGTGTGTGTGTGTGTGTTTGCATATGGTTCATGTTAGGTATCCTTAGTCCCAGAGCCTGAGCAGTCTTTTGAAGCTCTTTAGTATATATGAATATCCCTCTCTCTCTATCTCTCACACACTCTCTCTCTTTCTGTGTTCACATACAGTCTAAACCCTAAACCCTAATCCTTGCCCCCGGGGTGCTAAGAAAATTGATACTGTTCTGTACCATGGATTCGGGCCCCAGGCTCCTCCACCTATGGAATTTCGGACGCTAATGCAGACGGAAAAGGGCCCAAACAAAAAACAACAAAAAAATCCTTGGCCCCACGGAGTTTGCAGTCTCTTGGAGCCCTTTAGACCTCTTCCCTAAGGGTCCAAGTACCTAATAATCATAAACTCTCCAAAATCCTACCCTAAATAACTACTACCCGAAAACCGAGTACCCAAGTGTTGGGTACTTTGGACCTTGGCGCTTTCTATATCAGGACTTACTATTATGATTTGGGGAAGTAGTCCCCATAACAGTACCTAGGACCCTTTGGCACCAAACACCCTCTACTACGTCCCAAACCGGCAACGAAGCCTTAAGCCCTGAACTACACCCTACCCAGAGAGCCCAATACCCCTCAATTAAGGAATATAGCCTAAATCATAATATCAACACCCTTATAGTCTAAGCTTCCTTAATTAAGGGGTATTGGGCCCTACTTTAACCTACCAAACCCTACTTTGTTGTGGGTTCTTATTGTAACGCCTAATATGGAATGTATAGGGACCCTACCAAAAAATCTAGGTTGTGGTAGGTTAAGGTACAAATCCAAAACCCGAATCCCGAACTGGGCCCTAAACCCCAAAAACCAAAACCCCCTAAACCCCTAAACCCTGAACCCCTAAACAACTAAACCCCCAAACCCCTACACCCCTAAACTTGCAATGCCTGGGTTTCGACCTCTTGGCAGGTCGAAGCGACTTGCAGGATTGGCAGTCCAAAGACATCGAGGACTCGGGCAGACCGCGGGGGTTTAGGGGGGTTTGAGGGTTCCTTTAAGGATTCCTTTATGGGTTCCTTTAAGGGTTCCTTTAAGGGTTCCTATAAGGGATCTATAGGGTTTGGGGGTTGCTTTAAGGGTTCCTTTAAGGTGCTACAATGGTTCTATGAGGGATTAGGGGTTTCTATAAGGATACTATTTGGGGCTCCTTTAAGGGTACTGCATGGGGTCTATGAAGGATTAGGGGATTCTATAAGGGTACTAGGCTCTATAAGGGCACTATAAGGGCTTAGGGGATGATAGGGTTTAGGGTTTTGGGGTTTTGGGTTCAGGGTGTTTAGGGTTCTGAAATCTGCTACCATCCTAGGTCGATATGATGAACCCTTGATCCCCTCAACACCACCTTAGTGTTATGATAGACCCTCAGAAAACACCGTCTGAGACCAAGTAAGTAATGATCTAGTGCTTCCTGACGTGGAGGCCCCTCAATCCCAAACCCCACACTCTAGTCCATGAGTTTCCTCAACCCTAAACCTAAGAGGCCTAGTTAAAATCCAAGTCTAAGTTCACTAACCCTAAGCCCAGAATGCCCCGAACCCGAAAAGCCGTCTCACGGGGTCTAGACGGAAGATCCAACCCCATGTCTAAGATGCAAAAAGTGCAGCCCGACTACAGAAGTTTCAGGGGTTCAGTTAAGACGAAGCCTTCAGGGACCTGCGAGGGCACGTCGAAGGGCTTCATTTGCGTTTATAGAGTTTGTGATGTGGTTCATGTAGCAGTATACTTGATACTGCTGAGGGACAAAATCCTGCATGACCGTAAGGAATCTAAACTATGGGAACTATGGTATATTGCTTGTAATGGGTAATGCAGCATTTTGTCCATCAACAGTAGCTCGGCCTGAAAGGGTTTCTATGTTATGGCTTTGGCGCCAAAATATAGGCTTTGTCGGCACGTCGAGCTGTTGGGAAGGATGGAAGCCCAACCAAGGTATCCTTTTGTCTTAAAGATATATGGGCTAAGGTAGGGTAGGGTGTTTGGGTATACGCAGTACAGTACCTCGTTCGCGGGTTCTGATCATGGCAGGTTTCTCATCTTCATGGACTCCCATGCATAAACCCTAAACCCTAAACCGATGGAACGACGTCTTCCTAAATTCTGTGGGATCCCGCAACGGCCTGAAGCTCGCCCGGAACTCGAGTCCCTCTGCGGGGGTCCTTGAACTCAGGCAAAAGCTCCTCTACAGAACCCTGGCCTACCCCTGTGCACCCTCAGGCCCTAAACCCTAAACACACCCACAGACTCCAATATCCCTTAATTAGAGAATATTCCTTAAATTATAGTAGGACCCCTAATATGATTTAAGGAATATTCCCTAATTAAGGGATATTGGAGTCTTTGGGCAGCCGCACCCAGAGGGTCCTGGGGCAGCCAAACACCCCTTCAATCACAAGCCAACCACCCTGGACCCTGACAAGGAGTATGTACTTCAAGCAGAGTACCCCTGGACCCTGAAACCCTACTTGGAGGGTCGGGGGACTTAGTAACTGGTTATTTTAGGGACTTATAAGTACCGTTAAGTACCATACTTACAAAGTCCCCCGACCCTCCAAGTACCCTTTGAAGAGGGTTTAGGGTGTTTCTGAAGCTTCTATTCGGCGCCATGCGCATTGCTTTGCTACTGCTGGCACTGGCATCAGCGACGCGATGGCCGTCGGTGAGCGTTTCCTGGCATGGTTAGAATTTCAAGGTCCGAGTATCTGCACAATCCAGCCTTGGGTTTCCACGTTAGGACTTGCGAGTATGATTTCTGTAGGCGTCCCTGATGTGGCTATTCAGCATCCTTCGGGAACACTAGTGTAGAACTGATGAATAAAGGCCCGTCTCTTCAAAGGATCTAGTATCAGGGTTCCCGTTCCATTTTCTACAGTCGGGGACCCCATAACTGACATAAGCATAAGCATTTTATAGGGCTCTCCCTACCTTATTGGGCTTCATTATGAAGGGGTTTATATGGGATATCCCTCTCCTCATTTTTGCTTATGTGGTTCTTTGGTGCCCGAATCTTAGTGGCAGGAGTGTTAATCCGGGATCACAACTTCGCTCCTCAGGTTTTTCGGAAACCTGAGCCCGTGACTGATCGGCTCCAAATCCTTCCGCAAGAAAAGGCCGCAAGCATGTGGGTGGTTGTCAAAATTAGGGTCCCTTTTTGGGTACCCTAAATAATAGGTGCCGTATCATAATAGGGACCCAAACAGGGACCATAATTTTGACAACCACCCATGTGTACACATCGAAAGGGCCCTTCATAATTAGAGTACAGGTCTGCGGACGTTCTAGTCAAAACTATTCAGGAACACCCAGGAACAATGTTGCGAGTCCGTCAAGCGGTAGATAGTACAAAGGCCTGCTTCAACCTTATACAGTATACTCCCCGGTATCCGTCACCCCTAGATATCACCAGAAAAGTCTTTGACCGCAGGGAAACATTATGTAGGTAGCTGGGCTCTTGGGGAAAGACGCTGCAAGGTTCTCCTGGGTAGTATTAGGGAGACCCCTTAAACGTGACCCTTTTCAACCCTACATGTGGCTCTCTTAAAGAGACCTTACTGAGAGGGGCTAGATCCCCACGGGTCCCCTTAATCCTACCCAAAAGGGTCCAAGTATCTCCTCAGGAGGGTCCGGAATGTCCTAGGGAGAGTCCTTGGGTCTCTTTGGGGTCTCAGAATCCCTTCATTTTGAGGTTCCCCAATTTGTTAGGACCCTTAGGGTTAACCCTAAAAACCCTAAACCCCCAAACAAGGCAGGGACCCCCCTAATCCGAACTCCTAGGTTCAGATGGTGACGTACAAGCGACCAAAGCTCCTCTTGGAGGTCATGCGGAGTCAACAGGATTCGTTTAGGGCTCCTTTAAGGGTTTAGGGTCTTGAGTTTAGGGCTTCGGGTTCAGGGTTTAGGGCTCCTTCAGAGTTCCTTTCAGGGCTCCTTTGAGGGTTCCATTGAGCCTGTAAGGGTCCTTCTTGCGTGGTTCTATTTAGGGCCTCTTGTCGGGCTGCTTTAAGGGTTCCGCAAGGGTCGTCAGGGCTTTTAGAAGGTTTCAGAGTCCAGGGTCTAGGGGTTACTTGAGTGACCGGGAGTTCGTACAAGTATGTAGGCTTTAAGTGGGATTCAACCTCCTGTAACTGGCATGACTGCACACCTGACCCTGCTCAAAATCGACCCTACACCCTAAGCCTCCTCAAACCTACAGCCTCCTCAGGAATTAATTTGTATTTTTGTTCATATGGGTGGTTGTCAAAATGAGGGTCCCATATCGGGTCCTCATTATACTACGGCACCTAATATTTAGGGCACCCAAGAAGGGGCCCTAATTCCGACAACCACCCATACAAAGCCCAAGAGAGTATCAAACACATCATTTTGTTATGGTTCTAAGGGGGGGGGGTTTAGAAACTGATTTTTCCGAAAGTTAGGGGTTCCTTATTATGTATGGGGTTCTTGTAATAAGGATCCTACTATCTAGGGTACCATATAAGGGTCCCCTATTTTCGGAAACTCCCATATGCCAGGTTCCCAGATCTTTCGCACAGGTTTTGAACTCAGGGTTGAACAAGGCTTGTCTAGGGTTTCAGAGTCGGGGCGTTCTCGGCGTTATAAATACGGTTTAGGGTTTAGGGGTCTAGGGTTTGGTGGTTTAGGGGTTTAGGGTTTGGGGGTTTAGGGTTTAGGGGTTGAGGGTTTGGGGTTTTGGGGTTTAGGGGTTTAGCGTTTAAGGTCGTACCTGAATCCCCAAAAGTAGGTAGACCAATGACTAAGGGCCCGACACGTATCTGAGCTCTTGCTGATTGACATTATGGTTTTGTGAGGATTGCAACACGATCGTCAAAGAGCTCCAGAAACTTCTGCAAGGTGAATCCTCGTCGGCCGTTAACGGGGTTTGCACCATGCCTCCCCCCTGTCCTGCCTGCGCACCCTCAACCCCTTGAGCCCTAATCCCTGACACAACCTAAAACCCTAATCTTTAGATCCTAAACTTCCTAAACCCTTAATTAAACCCTAAGCCCTATAAAGCCTAATTATCCGTAAAACCCTAATCTCTAAATCCTAAACTTCCTAAACTCTAAACCCTTAAACCCTAAGCCCTAATAATGAACCCCGAAACCTTGATCTCTAAATCCTAAACCCTAAATCCTCATCTCCAAGTGGCAAAGAGGCTCTGAACCAAGTGGCCCTGCAGAACTACAAGGGAGACATCGACGTCGTAATCATCGACTCTTGGCTGCCCGGTTTTACGGTTTGGGGTTTCAGGATTTAAGGGTGTAGGGGTTCAGGACTTAGGGTTTAGGGGTTTTAGGGTTTTGGGTTTCAGGATTTAGGGTTTTAGGCTTTAATTTCAGATTTGCCTGGCCCTCAGTTTCCTTTCTTCAGGGGCACCCGGCAGTCGCAATGGATGCAAGAGGGGTTTGGGGTAGGGTTTCCGGGGTCGTGGTTTTGAGGATTTAGGGTTCAGGGTTTTAGGGCTTAGGGTTCAGGGTTTACGGTTTATACAGGGTTCAGGGTCTTGGGGCACATAGTCACACAGGGTGCGCGGAACGATTCACCAAGTAACTGTAGATACATATATACATATAGATAGATAGACACATAGGTAGATAGTTAGATAGATCGACATATGTATGTGTGTATGTGTATATAGGAAATAATGTTCCAAAAAGTGAGGGAGCCGCGCCATTGGTAACCCCGTTCCTGCATCTAAGGGCGCAGAGGTCGGGGCTTTGGGGGTTTAGTACTATAGGGGCCTCAATCATTAGACTAGGGTTTCGGGGAATATTATACTTTCATTATGAAAAGGAACCATAGTATAGGTATTTATTTAAGCCCCTACAGTAGGGTTCGAGAGGGTTCAGGATCGACTGAATTGGCAAAAGATTACCGATGTACTTCTTGAGCAGCATAGATCTGGTGAGGCTGAGGGGTGCGGAACTGTAGGTAGAAGCCAAACCCAAAGGGTCCTATGTACCGATATAGTAGAATGTAGGGTTTCCCTATTAGGAATTTCTGTTATGACTTAGGGAAGTATCCCCCGTAACCCCCGCCCGTAAACCCTAAGCGGTAGGGTTTAGAACCCATGCCCCAAGCCCTAGACCCTCCCAGACCCCCCAAACTACCCTCCAAGTAGAAATCCCTCGGCCAAGCCCGAAGTCTCGAACCCTTATATAAGCCCCTTGCATAAAACCCTTGAACATCGAAACCCCTAAACCCTCAAACCCCCTAAACCCCCAAGACCCCCTAAACCCCAACACCCCCAAACCCCTAAACAAACGAAGTTCCTGAAGCCCAGTGCCGCCTTGACAAGGACGATAGCCCTGAGAGTATGGAGGAAGAGATCGAGCCTCTGTGCCCCGATGTCTATGGGGGTTCAGGGATGAGGGTTTAGGGTTTAGGGATCAGGGTTCAGGGATGAGGGTTTAGGGTTTCGGGCTTCGTTTGTCTCTTTTTTGCTGATATTGTGTATTAGTCTGTGCTTTTGATTAGTAGCGGGGGTTTAGGGTTTAGAGTGCCCTGATTGTTACGAGTGGTTTTGTGTCCGCCTGGACCGCAAAGGTACGTAGATGAATTGCCTTTTATAGGTCCCGGACCAAAATTCTACCTGCACTGGGGTTCAGGGTTAAGGGTTTAGGTTTCCTTTCTCATTTCTATAGGGCTATGAATTGTGTAGCTTAGGGGCTTACACAAACCGTTTTGTGAAGGGAGTAACGGGATTCCACAATTGTCCCATGTTGCATGTTTTAGGTGCGTCGCCAACTAGCTACTCCCTTGTAATTCCGATTTTTTGATATTTCGCATAGTCATTATAGCGTATATTGTTATAGGTTTGGGGCTAATTAGAATAGGGTTTTGGCGTATACATTAGTTAGTATAACTCTAGAGGGGACAATTGAAAAGGAAATGCAATTCCCGCGCAGCTCGCGCATAGATATATAGTCTGGGGGGCCGGATCTAGATGGGTTTCTCAGGGGTGAAGGATTCGGCCTTAGACGGCATAGAGTTCAGGGATGTATGGCACATCGATTAGTGCCCTGGTTTGCATGACGAAGCATTCAACTGCTTGTCGACGCCAGGGTGGTTCGGAGGAAGTCCTTCGTTGCCGAGACAACAATGCAAATGTCCATCGATCGCGAATTCAGCGGAGGTGCACGATGACCCCTGGATCCGAACCAGTGAGTTCCCAGGCAACACTGTCTGAGCGAACTTCATAAACGATATCCTCAGCGTTCCAAGGGTGGGCAGGGAGGGCATGTGTCCGCCGAGAGGAGTGTATCCAGGCAAGACTGGGTTTCATTGAGTTGGGCAAAACCTGCGGAAAGCATGCCCATGCGTCTTGCATGGTCAGCTGCACAAGCACTCCATGTCTCACGTCAGCTACCAGGACCGGCTTGACTGGCATTTCAAGGTTTCAGAAGCCTGCTTCCCAGAGACTCCAATATCCCTTAACTAAGGAAAATTCCCTACATCTCATTACGGAATCCTATTACAACTTATAATGTATAACTATTCCTTAGTTTAAGGCCTATGGGAGTCTTGGGCGTCGTGCTTCATGCGATTCCTGAGAGCAGCTTGTACCTGGCTGGCCACGGTGCTCGGGGCAGGTTGCCTGTTAGGAAATCCCAGCAGGGTCTGAAATAGGGATAATTCATTCAACCCTAAGCCCCTAAACTGCCCCAAAGCCTAAACCTCTAAACCCTTACACAATAAATCCTTAAATTTGTAGGGCTACAGTCCGTAAAGGGCCCATGTATTGCGGTCCCAATTTTTTGTCGCTCGTCACCAAATCATGGGCATCATATCGAGACCTTCACCCCTAATCACCTTGACCTGAGACTTCATTGCATTCGAGCCTCTCCCCTAAACGCGCACACGCAAACCCCCCTTCAAGCACCGAAGTGATCCGAACGAATCCTTTAGGCGCGGCCGTGGATCAATAAAAGATGTGCGCTACATCTACTTGCTGGAGAGGATGAGCCGCTCGGGCCAAAAGGCTTAGGGTCCTCATTTGGCATTTTTGGATGATCCCTTGATTGGTATAACAACAGCCCAACACCCTCGTACTCCTATGCTGGCCTAGTCGGGGTTGCGAACGCACCTGTCTCAAAGAGACCCCATCACGAAGGCCCTAAAGAGATACAACTTATTCCTTAACCTTCCTGCGTAGAATATTACCCGTAAGGCTCCAAGGGCTCACAGTGTGAGGCTTTTGGGAACAAAGACCGTCCTGTGTGTGTGTATATATATATATGGCTTCTGGGCCATGTTGAGCCTCAGGGTGCTATATTAAGCCCTTCTACACAAACCTGTTCCTTACAGGAAACACTATTCAATAGACTTCTGCTTCTCACTAATCACAGTAGAAGTCCAAAAGTTGGAAACCCAACACCCTCCATCCTTAAGAGTAATGCATAGGGAAGCCCGGCACTGTTTGGCTTTAATCATGTTTCCAACTTGGGGTTTACTACAACCCAAAACCCCAACACCGCCGAAATCCGAAAACCCTATAAATCCTAAGACCCAGAACCCTAAGCTGCACTTCAATAACCCCTAAACCCCTAAACCCTAAACCGTTAATCCCAAAGTCCATCCAAGGTTAGAAGTATGGCCCCCAATATGGACGCTTAGGCCTTTTTGAGGGAGTTCTAGGGACCCTTATATAGAGCAAATAGTAGGTATTTAGGGATCCCATGGATTCAACCGTTGAGTCCAGTTTGCGTGTCTGACCCGGCCCTGAAAAGGCATCGGCGCCAAGCGGAACCTGGCGACGCGAAGCACCGACGCGGAAGTCCTCGTCATCTGGGACGACGATGACGTCACTTGAAGCAATTTGGGGGTTTCCGAAAATAGGGGTACCTTATCTTGGTGTCCTTATAATGATCCTACCATTTAGGGTAATTAATTACTACACTAGGGTCCCCTATTTTCGGAAACTCCCATATCCTTGCTTTTGCAAGGGATTGAATAGGGGGCTGTAATTCGTTGATATCGCTGGTTAAAGGGTGTGGGGTTTAGGATTTGACAAGAGCTACAGAGGGAGTTCGTGATGTAAGATCTTGTACTGGTGTTCTGTGGGTTTCTTTAGGCATATCGGTGAGTGTATATTTGAGAGCCTTCAAAGCTTTACAAGACTTCGGGCTTCATTTCGGTTTGGTAGGATCTTATCGGGTTCGGGTTTTCATTGTCATGCAGCTTCTGCCCAGAGTAACCAAGGCACCTTGCAAAGGTAACTGTACCAATGTGTTGGGGTCATATACCAAGGCGACATTGGTTACTCTAGGTAAGGCATTATAGGTTTAGGTTCCATGGTGTGGAGGGATTGTCACGGTTTATAGGGCTCTTGAACGTCCCAAAACCTAAACCTACGTCCAAGATATAACTTAGGTGTTACAATTCAGAGTCCAATTCTGGGGGCTGATGCGATTAGGGCTTGTGGGTTTAAACCTGCAAGATTTAGTGTAGGTGATACAGCCCGGACCTTCGACCATCCCTTAATTCAGGAACATACTTTACGTTGTAGTAGGATCCCTTCCCTCATGCGTCAGGGTACAGCTTTGGGGCTTTAGGGTCATGCGATTAGGGCTTGTGGCCTGGCGCCCGAAGCTACGCATGATCAGGCACAAGCAAGCTTGCAGCACCCTTAACCGAAGCCCACATTTCTGAGATTAATATCCGCAAGTAGATCACAGCACCAGAAACTTAGCAGTGGGGTGAGTAACCTGTAGCTGAATAGCATGTAGTTACCCTAAACCCTAAACTCTAGCCCTTCCTACACCTACCTACTTGTATAGGTTTAGGATTTAGAGTTTAGGTCCCCTAAGCCCTATACTGAACAGCAGTGCCCGAAGCCCAGGTATTCACGCGAGATCGCATTCGAAAGCAAGTTGTGCACTTGCTCGGATCGGATCTCAGCTAATGGGTGGGGGCTTACTTGGAGGGTCGGGGGACTTAGTAACTGGTTATTTTAGGGACTTATAAGTACCACAACCCCAATTAGGGCCCCTGTTAGGGCACTTATAAGTCTACTTATATCTTTACTTACTAAGTCCCATGATCCTCCAAGTAAGGTGTAGGGAATTTAGGGCTCCCTCCGTGTACGAGATCTGCTGTGAATATACAGGGCGTTCGTAAGGGAGCTGCTGTATACCGCAAACCCAAAGGCTTCTGAAGTAGGGCTCGGAATCATGGTTTATTTCCTATACGAATCTTGGAGTTTGCGAAAATATAGGTACCTTAAGTTTGGGGTCCTTAGAAGGTACTGTAGTATACCCCGAAGCTTTTTACCCAAACTTCAGCTTTTCAAATCAGGCCTTCGTAGTAACCCATACAGAATGAAGGAGCCCTTGAACCCTAAATCCTGAACCTCAAACCCTAAACCCCAAACTCCCAAAGCTCCTACGTACCCCAGGATCTGAGGATGTGAACTGCTCCGGCATTGAAGTGTCCTCCTTCTACTCCGTTCCGACGAAGGACTGTATAGGGTTACCCTTGGACGGTCGAGGGCTGCTGGTGTATACATTTTCGGGTTTAGGGGTGTCAACCGGTCCTGTGACGACTTCCACTCTTCTCGAGCGGGTGTCGGGGGTTAGGGGTTTAGGGTTAAGGATTGGGATCTATGGGGTCCAGATTTAAGATCTCAAAGGTAGTCCTATATGGGAGCCTCACACCATATCCTTTCATAAATACAGAGATGTTGCGGATACCCCCAAACTGGTTAGTGGTTAGTCTTAAGTGAGTTGTAGTCGTCAGTCCGGTAGGCAGTCAATCAGTCAGTCGGTCTTTGAGTGAGCGAGCTATCCAGCCAGCTCGTCGTTTAGTTTGCTTCGGTATCCAAGCCGTATGACGATCAATGTGAAAGACATGGAGAGGTCTGAAATCGAGTTTCTGATTTAGGGTCGATGCTTTTGGGGGATTAGGTGTAGGGTTTTGGATTTCAGGGTCTATAGAGTTTACCAGGTATCGTTTTGGGATAGTTTTTATGTCTCCTCATTGTGTGTTTTAGTTAATATAGAGCCCTAGTTACAATAGTTTTGGGGACTTGAAACCGACACCTAGTTAAGGGTGCGGAGTCTTGGGACTTGGAGGGGTTTATTGCACCATTGGGCTTCCAAGAAGCACATCAGCAAAATTTAGATAGGGACATCCCATGTAGCGCTCCTACAAGGAAGCCCGATAAGGCAGGGATGTCCCAGTAAAAACGCTCGTGCTGATGCGCTTTTTGGCGTCCCGACAGTAGAAGCGCAAAAGTTGGAAACCCAATAGCCTCAATCCTGAAGAGTAATGTATAGGGTTTCCCAGCACTAGCCTCAAAACCCTGGGGGCATGACAAGCCCAAAACACTGGGCACATAAGTATATATGTATATATATATATATATATATATATATATATATATCCTCTAGTTTGCGCCAAACTGTCCCGACTACCTGGGGGATCATGGGACTTAGTAATGTTCCTTGAATTAAAGGGCTCCGTAAAGGGATGCTTAAATGGCTTTAAGAGGGGAGCATCATCGGAGTTAATTAGCAAGTAATTATAAGGTTGTAGGTAGCGTAATTGAGGGTACGAGTAGCTATAAGTATAGATACCTTACTGACTTATAACCCTGGACCCTTGATACTAAGTCCCATGACCCTCTGAGTACCCTGCCCGGCCCTGACCCGCAGCTGGCTTCGCCAGGCGTCAGCCATGCACACAAATCCTAAACCCTAAGACATAAGCCCGAAACCCTAAACCGACTGATCATTTTCAGTTCTCTCTTTACCTTGCTAAGCCTCGTACCTTGCGCAAGCGGTTTCTCAAGATTTCTTCACGAATCTGTTTCTCAGGCTCTGCCAGCATCCTTAACATTTTAGGGTGTAGAAGCCAGGGTATTGTTCACATAAAGGAAGTTGTCAGATTATAGTGTTTCTTACACTCCCAGCCGATGCGAAATTCGCGTTAGGCGATTTCGCCTCAAATAACTCAGCCCCAAAGCTTTAAGCCCATCTAAACCCTAAGCCCCAAAGCCTTAAACCCCTAAATCCTGAACCCTAACCCCCTAAACCCCCAACCCCCTACACCCTAAACCCCTAAACCCGAAACAGCTAAGCCAAACAACCCTAGACCCGAAACCCTAAGCCTCACAAAAATCAAAAACTAAACCAAGACAGCCTGCCACGTCCCTAAACCCTAAACCCTAAACCCTAAACCCTAAACCCTAAACCGACGGAGGAGCTCACTGTCCGACCATCAGGTCTCGAGCCGCTGGTGTTCGCTTCTTGCTTGCAGACTTAGCCGTAAGTTTACGCACCGAAACGGTACTCCAACCAGTATGGTCCATATAGTCACGTGATAACCTTAGCTTGGTAGTGACCCTTCAAGGAACAGCTTTTAAAGAGCCCTGTTCAAGTCTTGAATGGATTATATGGGTCAGAGGAAGTGAGCTCAATGCCTTTTGATTGCTCAAACCGGTTGTATAACCCAAATAAAGAAACTACAATGGAGACTCGACCCAAAACCCTACCTGGACCCAAAAGTATGTAGAATAGTCGCTCTCTATAGGTGTTCGAAGAGCAGTTCCTTTAAGACAAAGCAAAAGTTGTGCCTGCCGAAATCATGATTTTGCACGGGAACAGAACCCTCTCTGCCAGCCGCAACGGAGCGGTCATGATGTGTGAGGAGAAGGACAAGTGCGCATGCACTTCCGGAGTGCTTCAAGCACTTCCCAGCGAGTTGACTACAGACAGAGATTGTCCTGCAGGGATTCAACCCGCTCTTTTCTAAAGGTTGGCTTCTGAAGTGAAGCCACTTCCTACAGTCCATGCCGTTCGTGCGCACTTTCTGCTGGCAGAACGCCGGCTTTACTCACAGGCCTGTGCTTTTAAAAGCTTAGCTGCTCATTTCCTGTTGTTGGTCATAGCTGCTAACTGCTAACTGCTAACTGCTAGCTAGCCGGTCCTAGCTAGTTGCTGGCCGTTGAGCGGGTACTTGAGAGCTGTCGTCACTGTCAATAGTAAAGTAACTGCTGGGTATTTCAACAGTACGGCCCTACAGTAGCTGGTAGCAGCTAGCGGTGATTCCGCACTGACTAGCTTGGGCCATCATTTTACTCATGTTTGGGGGTTGCACCCTAAACCCTAAAGCCCTAAAGCCCTAAAGCCCTAAACCTAAACCTTATAAGCCCTAAACCCTAAACCCTAGAGTCCCTAGAGCCTTCCCCTTGAACCCCAAACCCTAGCAAAGAAAGCTGGTTTTTAGGACGTGGGGGCCATCCCGAAAAACAGCTCCCCTCACACGCTTCAGGAGAACACGCTCTGCTTCACCCGGTCTTGGTGGGAAGGCTGGGGTTTGGAGTTTAGGTGTTTAGGGTTCAGGGGTTTAGGGTTTAGGGGTTTAGGGTTTAGGGTTTTAGGTTTAGGGGTTTAGGGTTTAGGTTAAGGGGTTTAGGGTTTGGGGGTTTGGCGCTTAGCGTTTTGGGGTAAGGGTTTAAGGTTTGGGGCTTGCCGAGAAACAGCACGTACGCGATGGCATTTTGCGACAAGGTTGTGTCGAGTGCATCGTCTTATGGCGACGATGTACCTTTACCCCCACGCTTGCTATGTCGGCTGAGCCGTCAAGCAGGGCTTGGGGTTCGGTTCACGTTTTAGGGTCTAGTGTTGAGGTGAAGCGTGACGCAGACATGAGATTGTTGGCACCGGCATGCAATCCTTCAACACTGACCGACCCGAGGAACTCGAAAGCTCGAAAGCGCCAGGAACCCTTGGCGCAGAGATCTCAATATCAGTTCTAGCATCCACTGAAAAAATGGACGCCTTTTCTAGTTTCTGAAGAGGGTGACGAGGTTATGGGAACTAGGATGTCTCAATTGAAATGTCGCGTACTAAAGAGGTATTTAGTTGGGCTCCAGCGGAAGCACCATAAAGCTGCCCCTTACAAAGCCATGGCGCATAATGCCTTCACATGCCTAGAACCCGACTAACCCAACCGATACAAATTCACAAACCCGAGACAAAGCCTAATCCGTTACAAAACAACGAAAACTCGTAAAATTCCAACTATTACCCAAGGGCCCAAGGGTGAAAGGAGGGACCCTTAAATAAGGACCCCTGGCTATATCCCCTTAATATAGCTATTATATACCCATTGTATACCCTTTATAGGGTAGGGGTCCCCATTAAGGGTCCCTCCTTTTCCCCTTTGATATTAAATTTTGGTAGGGTAGGGATCTCTTATCTGGTGAAAAACAGCGCCGCAGATGGTTTCTGTCTCGCGAGGCAATGGTTATGGCTTCGGAGAAGCCTGGGAGGTGGGTTTGATTTGATCTTTCGGGGTTTAAAGTCTTGGGCTGTAAGTTTAGGGTCTTGGGTTTTTGGTAAAGGGTGTTGGGTTTAGTATTTAGAGTCTATGGTTCAGGGTTTTTGTATGGGATTGCTGGAAAGGTGTAGGAATACAAAGTCAAGGTCTTCGCTATGTTTAGGAGTGTAGGGTCGAGGGTTTTGGGTTTGCTCTCTGCAGGCATGATCATAGCAAGCAATAACAACAATAGCAATGGCAAGGGCAATCGCAGTAATAATGACAATAACAGCAATCATCATAATGGTACTAATAATACAACTAAGAAGAACTATACTCATAATTATCGTAATCGGCCTAATAACGGCAATTAATCACAATTGTCATAACAACAGAAAGTACTAATCATACTTCATAACAATAAGAATGCCAATAATAACAACAAAATAAGAGCATTACGGTAATCAGCACCATCGACCAACTGTCCCCTGATGCCCTTTCATTCATGGATTTGCCTGGTAAACCTGCACATCAGGAACCGAAACAAAGTAGCTAGACCAGGACACCTCGGTCACAACACCCGTGCCCCCTGAGGACACACTCTGCATACAAGGCCCGAAGCCTAAATTTACCTTCGACCCTAGACCCTAAACCCCTTCAATAATCATAATGGGAACACTTAGACGGAACTTGCGGAAGCGCAACGCCTCAGACCTTGTGAAAATAAGTCCATCACCGAAGGTCTCTGGCCAGGGGGAGGGCACCTTGGAACCCTGGTGGAACCTTGGACTCTTCAGAGAAGCGCTTTTGGGCTCTGCCGGGTTCCCAACAAGGATTCCGAGAGGTTTCGGCAAGGAATCTTTCATAGGGTTCAGGAATGTTTCAATCGCTTAAAGTTAGAGCTTGGGGATTATCATATAATAAGGCTACCCACCAGGTCAAAAAAAAGGGACTCGCAATGCGAAAGAGTGTAGCCACCAGGGAAAACTTCTTTTTATGGGGTCCTTATAATCTTGATCCTACTATGTAGGGTACTACATTAAGGTCCCCTATTTTCGGAAACTCCCAGATGTGGAAACCTTTTCCACATTCTAGATACTAGATACTTGTTCCTCGGCTTTCTTCTTCAATGTAACTGGTAGTTCTCTAAGTTACGGTCCCTTTTCGGGTTCTTTTCCTCATCTGTCCAGCAGCTCGATCGAGAGACCAGGATGACCCGAAACCCTCGGCCCTAAAATCCGAACTCTAAACTTACAACCCCTAGCTGTAAGCTCCACTGTCGTTCCGTCTTTGGATTACTTTATAGGGTCCCACCTATAAATAAGATTGTCAAACCAGAAAGAGGGAAAGTAGACTCTAGGTAAGCCTTAAACTCTAAAATTGGCCTTCCAGATTCCAGAATCATGTAGGGTACTTTTGGACCGAAGAAAGGCTCCGCACGTCGGTGCGAAAGAGCTCAGAACCCTATCCGCACCCCATCGAAACTTGGGAAACCTCAGAAACCCTTTACTTAGATCGTGTTTTGAACCCTTGTGAGCCCTTGTAAAACCTTACCCCAAACCCTGAAACCCTGAACCTTAACCCTTCCGTACATCCTAAACCCTAAACCCCAAATAACCTAGCTTTTTAAGGGCTTATATAAGGAAATCATAATCAGGAACCCTGAAAGATAGGTAGGTTGCTTACTTAGAGGTTCATGGTAACTCCTTATAACCCCAATTCAGGTACTTATAACCTTACATACTAAGTCCCCTGATCCATTAAGTAGGGTCCAGGTAAACCCTATCTCTGAAGCCTTGGTCGTAAACCTTCTCCCAAAGTGCGAACTGGTCCAAGGACTCAGGTCCAACCACTTCTCGGCAAGGAGGCCTCTCCCATGAGTTTCGGTAATTTCTGAAATCAGGGTGGCCTTTCCTGAGGTTAGGCTTGGAGTCTATGTAGGGTTTACGGTTGAGGGTTTAGAGTTTAGGGTTTAGGGTTTAGGGGGGTTGACATTTTGGGGTTTATAGGGTTTGATGTTTTGGAGTTTGTAGGGTTTCTTGCTTCAGGGCTTTTAGGGTTTGGGGAGCTGGGAATCTTGCGGCCCTCCCCTCTGCAAAGCACACGAGAAAATTACAAAAGCCCTGATACACCTCTACTGGTACTCAAAAACCCTTCGCCCCCGAACATTGACGAGCTTAACTTAGCAGATGACTGAGCCCGCGAGGTATTCTCCACCATGAGGAACTCAACGAACAACTCCTGAGCCCAGGAGCCTTTAAAACCCAAGACTGAGCCCGGATTCATCTTCTGCCCCATTATGAAACCTACCGCTTTCCGGGTCCTCATCATTCGAAATCCTTAAACAGGTAAGGTATTTGGGCTTAAGATAAGCCCTAAACCAACCTACACCTTATAAATGCCAGAAAAGAGCTCAGGAGCCTTAATAAGAGCCCTATAATGGCCCCAAAAGAGACCAGAGGAGCCTTAGGACAGCCCTCGAATGACCCCAGAAGAGACCAGGAGCCTTAAGAGAGCCCTATAACGGTTGATGATAGAAATCCTGCATAACTCAGAATAAAAGTATACCATAATTCCCGTAGTTTAGGGTCCTTGAGGTAATGCAGGATTTATATCATCAACCCTAAACCCTAACACCCCATAGATCCCTTAAAGGAACCCCTTAGAGGTACCCTTATAGATCCCTTTAAAGGAATCAACAGTAATGACCCAAAACGAGCCCAGAAGGAGCCGTTCCTCTACATCTATCTCCCCTCGAGCGCTTCGGGGGGATCGGCGGTCAACAAGGAGCTTGGGGATGGGATCGATTTTTGATGTTTTAGGGTAGGGCTCTATAGGGTTCCTAGAAGGGATCCATAGGGTTCCTAAAAGGGATCTATAGGGTTCCTTAAAGGGATCTGTGGGGTTTAGGGTTTAGGGTCTACCCTAAGGCTCATGGACCCTTGCAGTGAGATCCCAAACCGAGCCCCAAAGCCGAACCCCTCCCCCAGAAAGCCCAAGACCCTCTTAGGAGCATTAGGGTAGGGTTTACTTGGAGGATCATGGGACTTAGTAAGTAGGTTATAAGTGGGGTTATAAGTCCCCTAAGTGGGGTTATCCTAAGTATAACCTACTTATAACCTGACTTACTAAGTCCCATGAGCCTCCAAGTAGGGTCCATAAAGGGGCTTCTTTGGATAATGGGCGTCCTAGAATAGGTTCCTTTGAGGGGTTTATAGTGGATACAGTACGGCTTAGGGTTTAGGGTCCACAGGGGTTCTTTCTCTACGGATAGGGTTCCTATAAAGAGGTACTGGTAGGGCTTCGGGTTTAGAGTCCATAACATAAAGGTTGGATAGGTGTTCCATACGCATGTCCATACGAGCGGGAGGTAGGGTTTGGGTTTCGCGATTTCTGTGTTGTTCAGGGGGTTGGGTTTCAGAGTTTGGGTTTGGGGGTCTGGGTCGGGTTTGGTATAGGCTTCAGGGTATGCCAGAAGGCAAAGCACTGGTTCCTGAAGCCGTTGCACTTCTCGGCTGCAGCTGAAAGAGGCAAAGAAGGCCCCGGCCCTACTTAGAGGCCCAGGGGACTTAGTAAGTAGGTTTTAAGGAGTTATAAGTACCCTACATGGAGATACCCCAAGCATAACCCTACTTATAACTTGTAGCCAACTTACTAAGTCGCCTGGGCCTCCAAGTACCTAAAGGATCATGGGACTTAGTAATTTTAACGCTACGCCGCCGGCAGGGCGAGGGCCCGTCGATGTTTTTTTATGCTAGGGCGGCCTGTCAAACCCCAACCTTTACACGGTTGTTGATACGAAGTGCGAGGAGAACGGGTACAAGGGGGTGGGAGGGGGGGGGGGGGGGGGAGGGGGAGGGGGAGAGGGGGGGCGGGGGGGAGGGGGAAGGGAGAAGGGGCGGGGGGAGGCCTGGGAGGGGGGGGAGGCCGATAAATCAGGTAAAATGAGGGGAAGCCGGGCAAGGGGGTGGCAAACGAACGCAAAAAGCGCATGTCCCCAAACATTTGGACTGCAGGGAGGAGGATTAGGTGGAGGGTACCTGAGGTAACCCCCAAGACGCCTGGGCCTCTGGCCTCGGCGGATTAGAGTTATAAGTAAGGTAACTATACTTATAACCCCATTTAAGGTACTTATAACCTTACATACTATGTCCCATGATGCATTAAGTAAGATAACTATACTTATAACCCCATTTAAGGTACTTATAACCTTACATACTAAGTCCCATGATGCATTAAGTAGGGTAACTATACATATAACTCATTTAAGGTACTTATAACCTTACATAGTAAGTCCCATGATGCATTAAGTACCCTATGCTTCCAAGGACCTTATAGTTAGGGCCCTAGACCCCTTAAGGACCCAATAATAAGGTCCCTGGAAGCCTAGGGGTAGTTCAGAATGAGGATCGCCGACCACCCCCACAGCCCGCGCTCGCGACTCTCGTCGCAGCGCTTCAGAGCGGAAGGCCCAATCCTAAGTTGCCTACGGTTGATGATACGAATCCTAGGGTTCCCTTTAAAGGGATCTATAAGGGTACCTTTAAGGGGTTCCTTTAAGGGATCTATAGGGGGTTCAGGGTTGGGTTGTCACAGGAGGCCAACAGGGGTTTTAGCCTATGGGGGTTCAGTAGGGATTAGGTTCCCCATAATAGGGTTCACATTAAGGAATCCCTACACCAAGAATCTTAGACCCCCCTTTTGGACTCCCATCAGGTTGATGATATACATCCTGCATGACCCTATTGATCCTAGACTTTGGGAATTATGGTATATTCCTTTTTATGAGTAATGCATGTTTTATATCATCAGCCGTAAGTGCTCTAGTGGTTTTGCTAGCATACGGTTTGATACGGGTTCACCGATGGGGTTGTATGTGGTTAGGTCTTGGTGCCTTTTGTCGATTCTTGTGCACCGGTGCTGGTGTGTGTTTCCACACCGGTCGTTTAGTCTAGCAATTAGGGAACTATTATTGGTAACGTTCTGGTTTGGGCTGTGTATAGTACTTGGGAACCTTGAGTTTAGGATTCTGGACCCAGACGGAACTCTGCTGTCAAAGCTTGTTGGTGTTTCTTTTCCTGATAGGATAGTTAACCTGTATAAAAACCGTTTTTCAATTTTACCCTAAACCGCTTTCCCTAAAGGACCCTAGACCCTAAACCCTACCCCCATCTTAGAACCCCATGCAAAGATCCCAAGTTTGCGAAGTTTGGCTACTTGCACAGGTTTCCGGACGAAGTCACCTCGCCACACATCAGCGGCGTCCTGAAGGGTGCCAGAGACGAGTTAGAGGAGAGCGGGTCTCTCTTTAAGAGCTAGTGTAGAGTAGGAGACCAGCAAGGTCTTTAGGTCTTGGCTCCAAGAGTACTATTCCCAGAGGGTCCAAGTACCCAAATGGTATGGTTTTAGGGCCCAAAATCCATACTCTGAATGGTTTTTGGGCCTTGAAACCCTACTATTTGGGTACTTGGACCCTTAGGACTGTGGGGTTGCAGTAGGGTTTCTGGCTTCATAACGGTTTACGTTGGAGTGGTTGGGCTTGCTTCCCTGTGGCTGGGGGTTTGGCGGGCTGAGGGCGCAGGGTGGAGGGTAGCGCTGTTCACGGTGTGGCAAGGCATCACATATTTCCTCGCCGAAGCGCATTTCAGTAAGATAGCCTGTCCACGTATGTACGACCATATGGACAAACATAGGATGAATTTAGGAATTCAGGGTTTTGTAAGTTTGGGTATTGGACCTCAGCAAGTCCTGAACCTTAAACTCCGTTATAGTGAGCCATAGTGATCAGCCTAAACGAAATAACGACAAAATCCTGGACTCAACCCTCGCCCAGACTGCCGATTAATTCGTAGTTGCATTCCCGAGATTGCAGCAGTCCGGGCATAGTTCCGCTGTTTTCCAATCATCCAAAGCCCTTGTCTCAGCTTTGACGCCCCTGAAGTGCTTAGACCCGCCCAGCTACCCTCTAATCTCCCAACCACCCACCATCAAGGGCTATAAGGGCTCTATTAAAGGGCCCTTGGGGGGTCCTAATATTACCCTAAACCCTAGGCCCTAAACCCATATAGATCCCTTTTATAACCCTTAAGCCTATAGATCCCTGTGGGGGGTCCTGGTAAACCCAAAAGCATGAGGAGCTTCTTGATTCGGACGGGCTGCTCGGCTGGATTTTGCTTCAGCGGAGTGCCTCAGACTATCCTGTGCCTTTCGTGTTCCCAGAGACTCCAATATCCCTTAACTAAGGAATATTCCTTGAATCATATACGGGATCCTATACTATAACTTAAGGTGTGTTCCTTACTTAAGGCATATTGGAGTCTTAGGGTTGTGGGCTTCAGTTTAGTGCTGCGGGTTTTTGATATTCGGTGTTTTACCCGTTTACCTGCGGAACCCTCACCCTGTCTTTGCATTTGGGGGCGCATCGGGATTGTACGGTGGTGTATAGTTTTAACGCTATCTCTCTGGTCGTTCGATTTGGGGCTTATATATGATGTTTATGTACAACCCTGGACAGAGCGGCTCAGACTCTTTTGGTTAGTCTGTAAACCACAACATCCCCCAAATCCTTTCGAACAGACCTTCCCAAACGTCCTTCGGGCCCAAGGTATACCTCATTCCCAGCTCCGCTCAGGTGTAAGTAAGTCCCATCCTAGGATGCCCAGTAGTACCCTTATTCCCTTTTTGTAGTCCTAGGTTCCTTATAAAGTTACCCAATACCAAAAAGAGAGGCCTTGTTATTCTTAGGTTACTGGGTATCCTAGATACCCTACGCTCCCAAACGATCCTGGACCCTTCACGCCTTAGCCTTAAACCCCTATCGGTGTTTAAGTCTCATGGCTGAGACTTCGGCGTAGTGATGAAGACGTGCAATGTGTCAGCTCAACTATAGGCGTCGATTTCAACAGTCCTCAAACTTATGCAGAACTAGGGCTCCGTGTTAAACGGGTGTTCGAATGTATCCCAAATCGATGCTTAGGAGATCCGTTAAAAGAACGCTCAAAGGAACCCTTATAGCACGTTTAAAGGGGACCCTTTGTTGGATCTTCCTGTAGAGCAGAGTCCTCATCGTTGCACAAGGACGTCTCGTCTGAGGGCCCGAACTTGTAGGGCACCCGAATAATTTAGGGTTTAGGGGTTTGGGGTTTGAGAATTTGGTTGCTTCAGTACTCAGAATAAGGTTTTTGGGGTATGCGATAGTATACTCAAAGACATAGCCTCGTACCTGAAAGAAGAGTATTGGTGATTGTTCTTGCGTCTATATGGGAGTTTCCGAAAATAGTGGACCCTAATATAGTACCCTAAATAGTAGGATCCTTATTATAAGGACCCCCAAAATAGGGTACCCCCTCATTTTCGGAAACCCCCCTAAACCCTAAACCCTATAGATCCCTTATAGGAACCTATAGATCCCTTTAAAGGTGTCCCTCATTTTCGGAAACTCCCATATTGCGTTAAAGGTGATGTTTTCGCCTCTTTGCTGGCATTGTTGAGTCACAGCTTATTATAGGATCCTTAAGGGAGGGGGGTTCAAGGGGGGAGGGTATAAGGAATCCTTAGGGGACTGTAAGGGAACCTTAGGGAGTACTAGGGAGAATTAGGGTTCACTAGGCTGTATACCCCCCTTGGACCCCCCTCCCTTAAGGATACTACAAGCTTAGGCTTAGTCTAAGACATTTACAGGTGGGTAGTTATAAGGTGGGTAGTTTCCCATAAGCCTCCCATACCACTCCTATAAGGTAAAGGGGGTCTTATGGGAGTACTATGGAAGAGGAACTACCTACCTGCAAGGGGCTTCTACTTAGAAGCTGAAGTATCCAGAGGGTCCATACAGACTACCATTATGAAATTGGGTCCCAGAAGACCATCTCTACTATGGTGTTGGGAGCCCATATCCATACTGGTAGTGTATGTATGTATGTATATATATATATATATACATATAGGTATATAGGTATAGGTATATATATATATATATACAGACTGACAAACGCAGGAGCTGTAGCCTTGAAGCCTTGACCCAAATGGTGGCGGGTTGTAGCGCCAGAAGTCCAGTAATGTGCATACTGAACTCTGAAGCCGAACATAGAGCTTACAGTACCCGAACCCTAGTATCCCAATACGAAGGTACAGCTCATATAAGCAAACGTTCAAACAGCCCCATAAACATATCCTAGTAACATCCTACAAAAACATGGCGACGAGGCTCGCAGGCTGTTTTCAGGAGGAGTTCAGGAGGTTAATGCTAGGGTTTACATAGCACACTTGTCTGTATTCTTGCTTTAAGCCCAGCTATTGACTTTACTGTAATCCTGCAAAAAAGTAGGTCACGGTAATTCAATCCACGGTTCAGGGTTTAGGTGCTCGTGCCACTTCGAGGTTGATGCAGATTTCCCGCGTTGCTGCCACCGAGCCTTTTGCAGCCTGGATCGCATCGTGGTGGTTTTTGGCTTAAGGTGAAGAATTATGATGAATTGAAGTATTCGGGCGGGCATCCAAGGCAGGTCATGTCAGGATGATCAGCCGAACTCCAAACCTCCCGCCACATGTACCAAGTCCAGGATGCCCGTGTTGCGTGTGGCATCTTGATGCACACCAACACACTGGGACGGCTACATGGATTTCTTCTTCCAAGAATCGCTCCATCCCGTTTTCCGACGATGGAACTGTCATATTCGGCTGCGGTTTTTCAGCGCGAGTATGTAGTAACCCCTGATATATTGGCATATAGTGCTGTCTCTTGACCCTCCCTACAGCCTAAGTCCTAAACCCTATACCCTACCTATACCTTCCCTTTAAAGGCTTGTTGGACCAGTCCGAATTAGGAACCATTTCAAGGTTGTCTGGATCTGAAAGTAGGTCTTGTTTCGTCTTGGTTCAGGGAAGTTGGGGTTTAGGCAACCGAGCCCCTCAACCCGAGACTCCTTGATCTTGTGCTTCATTGGATGGTGCTGCTTTAGGGAGTTGCGAGGGGGGGTCGAGCAGGGATAGAGTGTTTCGGGTGGTAGCTTTCTTTGGGTTTAGGGTTTAGGGTTTAGGGTGGACTTTAAGGTACTCTGGCCAGTAAGCGTGGCACTCGACAGGCCCTAGCTCATCAATGGCACAGCTCTTTTTGAGGCCTATGTAACACTCCCCAGAGACTCCAATATCCCTTAATTGAGGAATATTCCTTAAATCATATAAAGGATCCTACTATGATTTAAGGAATATTCCTTAATTAAGGGATATTGGAGTCTCTGGGTCCAAAGCCGCGAGTGCCTCCTTGCAGCCCGGAACCTTCGGTTCGTGTGAAAACGTTTAGGGTTTAGGGTTTAGGGGGAAAAAGTTGGTTGAGCAACTGCCGGAGCCTTCGAATTAAACCCGACTTGAACCAGGAACTACTATGAGGCCTATGGCTTTATAGCTACATAGCAAAGTAGTACGATGCAATATGCTCTAACGACAACAGAATATGGTGTAATGCAACTTTCCATGCTAAAGTCTAGAGGCAACCACAACTACTTAGAAGATCATGGGACTGAGTAACGAGGGTTAGAAGTAAGGTAGCTACACTTATGAACTACTTCTAACCCCACGGTCCTTATCACCTTAGTTACTAAGTCCCATGATCCTCCAAGTACATCCCTACAGATCCCCTTACAGGCCCTTTAAAGGAACCCTGAGCCTCCTCCCGCACGCATCGACTGAGGAGACGCCGGTGCGCAGATATCCGCCTGCTGCCCCAGCCGCGGTGGCAGAAGCCTATCCGGAGACCGCCCTGTGCTTCAAATCATGCCTTTGCAATCTGTTAAGTTCTATAGAAGGATCCTACTGCATTTGCAGGTAGATTCAACCCGAAACCTTCCCCACCAAAAGCCTAACGAGTAAACCCTGGGTTTCCAAAGATGCCCAGATCCTAAGATTCAAAGCCCTAACCTTACCTCCCAAAACCTGCATTTCTTGCAGGGTTCCGACAAGTTCTTTATCTAGAAAGCTCATGATAAGTGCCTACTTGGAGGGTCGGCGGACTTAGTAACTGGTTATTTTAGGGACTTATAAGTACAATAACCCCAATTAGGGCCCCTTTTAGGGTACTTATAAGTCTACTTACTACCTACTTACAAAGTCCCCCGACCCTCCAAGTACTGTACGAAAAGTGGGTCGTCCGCAGGAGCGGAGCGATCCGCAGCTTCGGGCGGAGCCGAGCGTGGCTGCGCACGTGTGGCCCGGATGTGTTCAACCCGAAGGGTCCTGAGGTTTAGGGTTTAGGGGTTTAGGGTTTAGGGGTGTCGTTACTTTAAGGGCTTCTGAAGGTCCCTTTAAGGGTTCCTCTAAGGGATCAATATGGATACTACTTGAATGGTCCTGGGTGCCGTTACTTTAAGGGCTCCTCAAGGTCCCTTTAAGGGTTCCTTTAAGGGATCAAGAAGGATGCTGTTATGAGGGATACTTCGTCAGATCATAATGGTAATTCCGAACATAGAAAATGCGAGACGGCTCGGGATTCATAATGACTTACAAGGTTCTTCGTGTCAAAGACACAAATGGCATGGTTAATTGCTAGTGGTGCAAGATGAGGTTGTAGTGGAGCGCATATGAGGTTCATTTTGCGGTTTTGTAGTTTTCAGATGGCTTTGCAGTGTGTTGCTCCATCTTGAAAATCATTTGGAAGGCGTCAAAAGGTTGTTTGACAAAGGGGTCGAATTGGGCAGGACCACTGAATTGCTCGCACTTCCATTCCGAAACCTTGAGCCCTTGAGTACATTGGGCATGTAATCCGAGGTGGAAGGCTTACAGGGAACTCCAGAAAGTTGGAATATGGTTTCATGGTAGGATACCCTATACCATAGAACGGTTAGGATCATCATATTCCAACTTTCTGGCTTTTACCTTAAGGTATTCTCTGGTCCAGGACACAAGATCTCCAGTCTAGTGCATAAGCCGCCCAACTACGCTTTAAACCCCACGATTATCGACCTTAAGGTCTCGATTAAGGGGCCCTGGTAGGGTCTGAGCCCGAAACCCCAAGCCCTCAAGGTTCAGACCCCCCCCCCCACTGCTTAAAGGATCATGGGACTTAGTAACTAGGGTTATAAGTAAGGTAACTATACTTATAACCCCAATTAAGGCACTTATAACCTTACTTACTAAGTCCCATGATCCTCCAAGTATGCCAGACCTGCAGCTTCATTCCCCTCAAAGCCTCCTGGTGTCCAAGTGCATCGCATTGGCATAGGAGTTGGGGTTCAGGGTTTGGGGTTTGGGTATTGGGATACCTGCCAGCATACCAACCTGAAGCTACTACTTTTTGGGCCAACATAAAGGACCTCGTAAAACCCGATACGTCCGGCTCTTATAGAAGCCTCTGTTCGACCCTGAACCCTGTAGACTCCGAAAGCCCCACAAGCCCCAAACCCTAAAACTAGAGCCCCGCGAACTCCATTAAGCCCTACCCTAACTCCTCTACCCTGCCATTTTCAAGGAAGTATAAATCATTTAAGCCATAAGCCCCAAAACAAACCCCAAACCCCTGAACCCTATGTCTCTAAACCCCTGAACCCCTAAACCCCTAAACCCTAAAACCGAAAGCCTAGTAGTAGAGTAGGGAACCTTTAATTTTTTTGGTAGTCTAGTCCCTATATAATCCCTATATACCCAAAAAGGTGAACCTTTAGTTCCCCATGATACCCGACAAGTGGGAAAGACTCTTCAGGTGGAGGCGTTTGAGCTCCTGCGATCTGTCGTCGGCCGGCTGGCTCTTGAGCAGCAGCGCTTCGGAGGCAAAGAGACTCCGTGGTCGGGTTTAGGATTTTAGGGTTTAGGTTTTTGGATTTTAGGGCTTAGGGGTTAGGGTTTAGGACTTTGGGGTTTAGGGTTTGGGTGGGTTTGGGGTTCATTTAGGGTGGTTTTGGGTTTAGGATTTAGTGTTGAAGGGGTGGTCGGGTTTAGGGTTTAGTATTAGGGTGGATTTGGGGATTAGGATTTAGGGTTTAGTGCTTTGGGTGATTAGTTTTTTTGTGTTTAGGGTGGATGTTGGGTGCAGGGTTTAGGGTGGGTTTTGGTGGGTTTGGGGTTGGTGTACGTAGGGTGGATTTGTGGTCGGGCTTCGGGCTTACAGTAAACCCCATAAGGTTGGACACCGGATTAAGGCCACATAGTGCTGGGTTTCCCTATACATGACTCTTAAGGATTGAGGCTATGGGGTTTCCAACTTTTGGGCTTGTACTGTACTGGTATAGTGTTAAGGGTTGATTTGGGGTTTAAGTTTTATCAGGTTCGAGATGGTTTTGGGGTTTAGGGCTCAGGGCGGATTTAGGTTTTAGGGCTTGTTACAAATTCAGAGTGTAGGGCAGCTACTACAAAGGATCCCAAGTCCCTATTCTAATCATTATGGCCCCTACACTAGGGTCTTCAGGATTTGTTTGTCAGAGGTTTACACATCAATTTAGCAGGGCCTGATTTATTGCGTACGGCTTTTAAAGTTGTAGAGTCAGAGAAGCTGAGTACGGGTTGCCATCCAAAGAGAACTTACTTCGCTTCCGAGCTGTCTGTATGTGGATTGCATATCATGCACCACCAAAGTGGGTGCTTCCTCTAGCAGTCTAAAGCCTAAATCATCCTAAAGACAGACAAACAAGACCAGGAACCCCTTCCTTACTTTTGGTTCGTAGGGAATGGAAGAATGGTAGTAATAGTAGTTGTAAGTGTACCCCATTCCTCTACTCCCTACTAACCAAAGCTAAGCTTCGCACTGAGCCCTAAACCATAAATCCACAGACGAAGACAGACAAACAAGACCAGGAACCCCTTCGCAAAGTCTGATGCCAGCGATGACCATGAGGAGCCCCTGGCTGCAGACGACCAGGGGCTTCTATTAGCCTGTGAGGGCCTATGCTTTCAGCCATCAGCAGCAGATCCTGGCCCGGTTTAGGATTTAGGGCTTAGGGTTTAGGATTTAGGGTTTTTAAGGTTTAGGGTTTAGGATTTCGGGTTATCAGGGTTTAGGATTTAGGATTTAGGGTTTAGGGTTTAGGGTGGCCTTCAAAGAATGGCTGGCAGAGCTGCTCGGAGCCTGGCCAGCAAGGTCACCGCATCACATTGCCCAGAGACTCCAATATCCCTTAATTATGGAATATACCTTAAATTATAATAGGATCCCCAATATGATTTCAGGTATATTCCTTAAATCAGATTAGGGAGCCTATTATAATTTAAGGTATATTCCTTAATTAAGGGATATTGGAGTCTCTGGGATTGCTTCGCCTGGTCCAGGTGCATGTGCTGTGCGCTTCTGTGGCCCAGGTTCTGAGTGCCCGTTGACCCTTCGCGATCTCTGACCTCTACCTAAACCTCTAACGCCCAAGCCGCTAGACTCCGTAGACAGCCTAACCGAAGTTTATGGCTCCGTTTCTGTTTAAAGATCGGCTTTTTGGGGGGCTACACAACATAACTGAAGCCCCAAAATCCTGAAACCAAAAACCCACCCAAATCCCTAAACCCTAAACCCGAAACCCTTATGAGTGTGTCGTGTCCGGCTCGGGCCGGAGCGACCCAAACCCCTAAACCCTAAACCCAACATCGTAAACCCAAAACCCTAAACCCTACTTGGAGGGTCGGGGGACTTAGTAGCTGGTTAGTTCAAGGACTTATAAGTACCATAACTCCAATTAGGGCCCCTTTTAGGGTACTTATAAGTCTACTTACTACGTACTTACTAAGTCCCCCGACCCTCCAAGTAACCCTGAACCCATTCACTCCGAGGTCCTCCGTGCCGGCTAAAGGAGGACTTCATCAGTGAGGATGAGGCAATCCGGGCCCAAACAGTCGCCCCTAAGATTTAGGGCTTAGGGTTTAGGAGTTTGTCTATAGTATCCATTGTAGTTCCTTTTTTGGGTTTAACCAAATATATAATTAGGATCCTATAAGGTAACCCCAAAAGGGAACTACAATGGAGACTATAGGTAGGGTTCCGTTCAGGGTACTATGGGGCTTCTTTATGTGCTTAGGGTTTAGGAGTTTCGGGTTCCTTTAAGGGTACTATGGGGGGTTCTATATGGCTTTAGGGTTTCGGGCATAAGGGGGGCCATGTACTCTTGTAGTCTATACTGCAGCACTACAGTACCTAAACAGGGGCTATGCAACCCTAAGTCTGAAGAGTCGCCTGTTCCGATGAATTTAAGAAGGGCTCGAGCCCTAACAGACATCTTTCCCCAAGACTCCAAATAGCCCAAAGTATGTAGTATTTATAGACTTTAGACCCCAAAGTAGCTACTATTTATATACTTGGAGCCTTAGGGTTTTAGCCTGTGGAGTGCGTTGGGATTGTGCCTGTGGCGGGGACTAAAGGTCACGGGGAGTGAGGGGAGACAAGCACGGGCTTTGAATAGGGTTTAGGGTTTAGGGGTTTAGGGTTTAGGGTTTGGGGCAACCTGACTAGCATCGCAAGCATGTTCTTTGATCCCCTGGCGAAGATCCCAGAACCTGGTATGACAATGCTGATGACAGATTCCGGCAATAGTCACAACAAGGTGCGTGCCATAACTCCCCTAATTTGAGGCGAGAAGGTTGGATCGCTCGCCAACAACAAGTCTACTTGGACGCTCATGGGACTTAGAAACTAGGGTTATCAGTAACGTAACTGAACTTGTCACTATATCCCCAATAAATGCAATGATAACCTTACTTACTAAGTCCCATGACCCTCTAAGTAGGGATCCATCCCTTACACAGCCCTGATGGATCCCTTCAAGGAACATCTGAAGGAGACTTTTAAATTTCGTAAGGAACCTTACTTACTAAGTCCCATTAACCCCTAAACCGTAAACCCTAAACCACAGTCCCATGATCCTCCAAGTACCCGGCAGGCCTCTTCCCTTCTTCTCGGTCTCCGTCCGGATGCACTGGCGGGCATGGCACGTCGAGAGCGAGGTGGTGTAGAGCCACTCAGGCTAGGGGTTTAGGGTTTAGGGTTTGGGGCTTGTAAGGTCTAGGCCATCAACAGTCGATTCGAGAAATTTGCTCGTCTCGTGCCAAAAACTGCAGAGCAAGCATGATAGCATCAATAGCAGTACTCATACCTGTACATATCAGGCATATCAGCGACAAATGTCTGTCTGTACTAATTATTGTATGCAAAATTTGTGCACTTGCGGGGCTCAGGCCGCAGGCCTGATAGCTACGGCGATGGACTATCATGACCACGGCTTTACATGTCTATCTTCCTCCAGACTCCATGAAACACATCGATGTAGCATCATCTGTATGTCGTACGTATGCAGGATCATGTGCCCTAAAACCCCGTCAAAGTTATCTTGAAGGATCTACATCAGTCAGAAGCCATCCTTCGGGAGATAGCTCCATGCTCGGTACGAACAACAGCCAAGCAGAACCACGTCCTGCTCAAGCTTGGACAACTAAGACCTTCATATTTCACCTTGTACACTAACCGTAACAAGTCCCATCCACCAGCAGGGATGTGCTCGTGGCACTTCTGATGCATGCAGAGCCCTTTGCACAAAGCAAAAGGTAGTGTTCAAGTCCGCCGCCCTTCTCTTGGTTAATTGTTGTATTCACACCCCACCAACTCCAAAACAGAGAACCTGTATCCGACGAGTTAGATTCCCAAGCTCAGGGGCGGTTCAGTGTTCCTGAGGTCACGAGCTGAACAAAAGCTGCGACAGCGCGTCGCAGCCGCGGTTGGCGTCGAGGCTCTGACGCGGCTTTCAGCTCACGAACCTAATCCTGGAGAGCACCTGTAGAGCACAGCCTAGATTATGTGAGTCAGGTTGTACAACACGGGGGGTTCTTGCAGATTAGTCTTGGATGCCCCTTGTGTGGTTCAGCCTGTAAAAGGATAAGATTTGAAAACGATAATGTTTTAATGCATGATACCTTGTGAAACGATACGGCGAGAGAAACCATGACTCAGTTTGGAAATAATGGATTCATAGCAGTTGTTGTTATACAACCCCCTGTTCCTTCGGCGTGTGGCAACTTCACAACATAAAGGCATCGGTTAGAGTTGGTAGCGGTAGTAGCACTACCAGTACGAAGCTTCAGCAGTAGTGGGAGCAGCAGTAGCAGTAGTAGGAGTAGGAGTCGGAGTCGGAGTGGGAGTAGAAGTAGAAGTTTTTAGTAAGTGGGAGTAGTTAGCAAGTCAATACGTTAGCGAGTTCGTTCGTTAGCAATTAGCATCAGCAACAGCCGCAGCAGTAGCAGCAGTGGCATCGCAACACAGCCCCCTCTCGAACCAACCTCTGGCAGGAGCGACTACTTGAACCCACGCGCTTCGTTCGCTACTCTCGGAAAGGCCGAGACACGTTGGCAAACGTGGCGATTGGTTCAGGGTTTAGGGTATAAAGTAAAAGCCAGAAAGTCGGAATATGATTATCCTAAACCTTTTATGGTAAATTTGTATCCTACCCTGAAACCATATTCCAACTTTCTGGAGTTCCCTGTACCGCTTTGGGGCTCAGAGTCTAGATCCCCAAAACCTGCCCTGCAGAGCAGGCAGTAAATTACAGTTATAATTTGGGTACTGCCCCCACTCAGTAACAGTTGGATAATATTCATAATATATATATATATATATATATAAGGACCTTAATAGTAGCATTATAGACTGTTACTGTAAGGGGGCAGTACCCATGTTATAATCATCATGCAAGGCATCACACGGCCTTTGGCTAGGACCCTGCACCCCAGATCCAAAAATGATCCGAGACCTTAAACTTTGGGGTTCTTAGAGATAATTGTTAATTTTTGGTTATTATAATCCCTAAGAAACAGCTAAAATTATAATTTTTGCTACGGTTCTAAGTTCAGTATAGTAAACCCTAAATCCCAGCCCTAGATCTGATGTTCTACTACAGGGGATCCCCAGCTCGGGGTTTCTCGGGGTTTGGGGTTTAGGGGTTATAGGGGTTCACGGTTTAGGGGATTAGGGGATTAGGGTTTAGGGGTTATAGGGGTTCATGGTTTGGAGGTTTAGGGGATTAGGGTTTAGGGGCCCCGGAATTTCGCGGCTTCGGGCCCACAATTCAAAGTTAGTTAGAAGAATTAGGGGGGGGGGGGGGGGGGGGGCTAGGATTGTATGAGTTTTAACAGAGCTAAAGATTACAGCTGTACTAAAGACACGAGAGCTTCAGGGTTTACGGGTTCAGGGCTCAGGGCTAAAGCTTCAAGGGCTTGGGGCTTTAGGGCTCAAAGTTTAGGGCTCAGGGCTTTAGGGTCTAGGGCTCGAGGTTTAAGGCTTAGGGCTGTAAGGCTTAGAGATTTAGGGCTACGTGGATGCCCCGAAACCCCCCCTTCTATTAAAACTAAATCCCGGAAATCCAGTTTGTATATTAAGAGGGGGGGAGGGGGGCGTTTAATATTATGGGGAAGGCATTTACGCAACAGGAGCCTTAATCGCATAAGAAGAAGGTGCTTGTGACATCTTTGCAGGAACCTTAGCAACAATTTAACAAGAAGGGTTCGGGCCTGACTGTCGGTTTTCTGGCTAGGACCTTGAAAGCTGAAACGCAGTTCCTGTTCATGGCTAGAGCCCTAATTGGGTCCAATTACCTAATTATCGTATACTCTCCAAAATAGTAACCTACATAACTACTATCCTAGGTGGCAATTTGGGAGACTTTTTAATTTCCCTTCTGGTTCCTATAGAGGTACCTATCCATAAATACTTTTCAGAGCCCCAAAACTACAACCCAGTATCCTAAAACCGAGAACCTAAATCTTGGGTCCTTTGGACCCTTAGGGGAGCTTTCAGTCCTCTTAGCGTTCCAACCGTAAAGTCGGGCCGAACTATCACAGAGTTATGAAGCTTCGAGGGTTTAGGGTTCAGCAGCTCCGGATCGAGCAGTTTTACAGTAGAGTTGTGTTTGCGGTTTAGAAATAACACCCACCCACCCTTAGAATCCCATAACAATACGAAAATACAAAGCTTTACCCTCATTTACAGCTTAAAACTACTATGACCGAACGTTAGCACAGCATTAGCATCGTTAACTTAAACTAAACCAAGCTTCAAAATGTCGCTGTCGACTTTTCACAGAGAAGATGCCGTCGACGTATTCGTTTCATGAATATACATCCAGATCATACAGAAACTGCACAACAGACACATGTTCTGCATCATGATAGCAACGACGGGTTTAGGGTTGCTTTCGCCAATCATGCCCGCCAGCTGGCTGCAGTGTCCATTACATCGTGGGCAATTAGGGCGGAGGGTTGAGGTTACTTTAACGCCCAAGTATTTACGAATTATGTGACTACATTGACTCGTAATTATAGAATTGCTGCATGTCCAAACACCTACAATACTCCGATCATCCCCAATCCAACCCACAGTTACACCTACTCGAGACCCATGTAACCCAGTAATCATCTCTTCCCAACGCGACGGACAAAGCTCCAGACTAAAATCTTAGCACTACCTAGTAGTAGAGTAGGGAACCTTTAGCATGTTTTGGGTAATATAGTCCCCTTATAATCCCTATATAACCAAAAAGGTTAACCAGTTTCCCATGACACACGACAAGTAGGACTACAAAGACATACACTCCAAAACCTTAAACCTCAGTTCCTGAAGTTTAAACTCTATTCGGAACCATGTTGCTGGTTCTGCAATGTTTTTCCAGTCTGCAGGCCAGGCGTTTGAGCCGCAACTCGGCAGAAGCAGTAATCCGAGGCTGATCGTCCTGCACGGTTCAAGGTTCCATATATGGGTCGGACTAAAGAATTCTTACCTGTATCAGTCACCCCGAAGCCCTCTACTGACTATTTAGGGATTGAGGGCTTTTGGGTTTTAGGGTCTGGGGTTTGTGGGTTTAGGGTTAGCGCGTTTCGGGTGAATTGTCTTGGGGTTTAAGTCTAAGGTTTGTCATATTAGTTGGACCATTTCGTGGTGAACTACAGTACCAGTCTCTACACGTGCTCATTCTTGACTTGGTAACAGGCTGTCAGACGTGACATTAAAGGTTTAGCAGCCAGGTTCATTGACAATTGGCTTGATTGCTTACGACAGTTGCTACGAATAGGGCTTGGGGCTAGAATGCATGTAGGGCTTCCCACGCCCAACACTCCCGAAAGCCTCTTGTGGTTTCCAACTTCAAACCTAAACCCTAAACCCGAAAACTAATTTAGTTATTAGTCGAAACCCTAAACCCTAAACCATAACGACCTTAACTGCTAGGTGGAAAAAGGCGTTCAAAAACAAAACCTAAACCATAAACCGTAAATCCTAAGCCCGGATCTCCCAGACTCCAGGCACGTAGATTGGATTGTCGATTCGGCCGATCCTCAGCTTGACGCTTCTCCGCATGACTCTTTGTGTTTTGTGCATATGTAGGAGTTTCCGAAAATGGGGGGTACCTTGCTTGGGGTCCTTATAATAAGAATCCTACTATTTAGGGGACTATATTAGGGTCCCCTATTTTCGGAAACTCCCATGTAGTTATGTGATTGTATGTGTGTATGTACACACACAATATGCATGTCATCTGCCTAAATATGCAGATGTGCGAGAGAGTACATAATAGGTTCTGTGCACTTTTGATCATTATATCCTAAAGTCCTAAAGCATAAACTAGAGTGTATGTACGAACATGTTTGTGTACATCTATGTGTACACATGTGTGAATGTTAGTGTGTGTATGTGTCGCTGGTCTAGACTATGTGTCGAAACTGTCCTTGCGCTACTTGATTTGTTCAGGGGTTGGGGGGTGCCTGGCTTGTGAGGGCTTCGAGAGTTTAGGTTTTTTTTAAAAAATTCCGTCATGGGCTTCGGGGGTTTATGAGAGCAGGACCTGATTAATTCGAAAAAGCCTGTTTAGGTTGCCGAATAAATCATACACCCCAAAACCCACTACAGTAGACCCCCACTCAGCCATTCTCGCCCCTTCAACCCACAACCCACTAAGCCGTTGCCGTTGAAAATCATGTGACCGTAAGAAAACAGGCCGCCGAAGCCCGCAGTTGAAACTTATAGGGGTACTTAGAAATATTTTTTAATTTTGGTTATTACATTTCCTAAGAAACAGCTAAAATTATGATTTTTGCTAGGGGTTCTAAGTACAGTATAGTTTCAGTAGTGCCTTCGTATCATTTTCATGCTGGGGGCTGCTGATGGAAATTGAATAACCATTATGGGACCAGCCCCTGGGCAAGACCTTATGCCTCCCCAAGCAAACCCAGCAGCCCAGTTAAAATCCCGTCGAAACCCTGTACAAACACTTTAAACCCTGTCAACATCCTCTAGTTTAAGACCTTTACAGCTCCCTGTAAGTTCGGGACGAGGCAGAGTTGGGGCAAAGAGTGGCCACGGCACTGATCTTTCTGACAGACCTCCCCGAAGGCAGGACTGGAGGGGGGGTTGAGACTTCGTGGTTTTGGGTTTGGGGTGTGGGAACGTTGTGGACTGGTGGGCTTCTTTCTTGTGGGATTGCAGGGTTTGGAGTCTTGCTAAATTTCCTGGGGGGAGGACGGGGGTGCTTGCGCGCACATACCACTCTACAAGCGCATGCAGCGAACACACGGGTGTTAAGTGTGTCTGTGTTTGTGTGCAGCCTTTGCTCGCACTTCTTGCTGCACACTGAGCCAGCGGCAGGATTTCCTGCCGCTTGGCGGAGTGTGCATTGCGACCATTGAAAAGGAGTGCATGTGTTTGATCACCTTAACATTACGTGTGTTCAGGAACTTCCGACCCAGAGAACCGAGCCGAAGATGAAACCACAGGAGAGGAGCCTGAAGCACAGCGATGGCTTCGGGTTCTAGGATCTTGGAGTTTCAGGGTCTGCTTTAGGGTCTTCCTGAACCCTATAAGAACCTGCCAGCTGCAGGGTTCCCTGTTGTGACTTCCCTTTATAACCCCAAAGGGGTCCTATGTACCGATATAGTAGAATGTAGGGGTTTCCCTATGAGGAACCCCATAACAGTACATAGGACCCTTTGGGAACTGCCTTTAAGTAACCCCTAACCCCAACCCGAAAACCTAAACCCTGAACCTCACTAAACCCTAAACTCTTAAAAGGAACCCCTTAAATGATCTCAGAAAGGACCCCTATAGATCCCTTTTAAGGAACCTTAAACCCGCCAATAAAAAGAGTATCGGTAGGTTATTTGCGGTCCAGGTCGGGGCCTGGGGTCGATGAGATGCAAAGGAGGAACAGGACGGTTTAGGGTTTAGGGTTTAGGGTTTAGGTTTAGGGTTTAGGGTTTAGGGTTTAGGATTTAGGGTTTAGGGTTTAGGGTTTAGGGTTTAGGTTTTAGGATTTAGGGTTTAGGGTTTAGGATTTAGGGTTTAGGGTTTAGGGTTTAGGATTTAGGGTTTAGGATTTAGGGTTTAGGGTTTAGGGTTTAGGATTTAGTGTTTAGGGTTTATTGAGCTTGCTTCGTGTGCGGGGTGCCTTTTTGAGAATCCTAAACTGGGGTTTTCTTTTTGGGTTTTTTTTGGGTTTTTTTTTGGTTTTTTTGGGTTTTCTTGATTTTTTTGGCCTTTTTTTCTATTTTTTTAATTTTTTTTAGTTTTTTTTTAGTTTTTTAACCTTGCATGGGGGTTTGCTAAACCCTGAATTAGGGTTTAATAAACCCTGAATGGGGGTTTGCTAAACCCTAGGGTTTGTTAAACCCTGAATTAGGGTTTAATAAACCCTGAATGGGGTTTGCTAAACTCTAGGATTGCTAAACCCTAAATAAACCCTAGGGTTTGCTAAACCTTAAATTAAGAATTAATAAACCCTGAGTGGGGGTTTGCTAAACCCTAGGGTTTGCTAAACCCTAAATGAATGGGGTTTGCTAAACTCTAGGATTGCTAAACCCTAAATAAACCCTAGGGTTTGCTAAACCTTAAATTAAGAATTAATAAACCTTGAGTGGGGGCTTGCTAAGCCCTAGGGTTTGCTAAACCCTAAATTAGTTAATAAACCCTGAATGGGTGTTTGCTAAACCCTAGGGTTTGCTAAACCCTAAATTAGGGTTTAATAAACCTTGAATGGGGGTTTGCTAAACCATAGGGTTTGGAAAACCCTGTTAATGAACCTTGAATGGGGGTTTGCTAAACTGAAAGCCACATTTCCTGGATTTTGGGGTTGGCGTTTTGGGTGACAAATTCTGTTCATAGAATAACGTTTTTATTGGGCCGGAGGGCCGATCTCGAGGTCCCCCTCCATTCTGGGCCTAAAATACAAACGGAACTGGTGCAGATTCGGGCTTAAACCATAAAATAATTAAAGCCAAATTTCCTGGATTTTGGGGTGGGCGTTTTGGGTAACAAATTCTGTTAATAGAATAGCGTTTTTATTCGGCCGGAGGGCCGATCTCGAGGCCCCTTCCATTCTGGGCTTAAAATATAAACGGAACTGGTGCAGATCCGGGCTTAAACCATAAACGTTTAAGGTTTAGCGTTTAAAGCCAAATTTCTTGGATTTTGGGGTGTGCGTTTTGGGTGACAAATTCTGTTCATAGAATAGCGTTTTTATTAGGCCGGAAGGCCGATCTCGAGGTACCCCCTATTCTGGGCCTAGAATACAGACCGAACTGGTGCAGATTCGGGCCTAAACCATAAACGTTTAGGGTTATCAGCAACTATTAGCAATTATTAGCATTATTAGCAATTATTAGCAATTATAGCAATTATTAGCAATTATTAGCAATTATTAACAATTATTAACAATTATTAGCAATTATTAACAATTATTAGCAATTATTAGCAATTATTAGCAATTATTAGCAATTACTAGCAATTATTAGCAATTATTAGCAATTATTAACAATTATCAGCAATTATCAGCAGTTTTTATCAATTATTAGCAAGTATCAGCAATTATTAGCAATTATTAGCAATTATCAGCAATTATTAGCAATCATTAGCAATTATTAGCAATTATTAGCAATTATTAGCAATTATTAGCAATTATCAGCAATTATTAGCAATTATTAGCAATTATCAGCAATTATTAGCAATTATTAGCAACTATTAGCAATTATTAACAAGTATTAGCAATTATTAGCAATTATTAGCAATTATTAGCCATTATCAGCAATTATTAGCAATTAACAGCAATTATTAGCAATTATTAGAGATTATTAGCAATTATTAGCAATTATTAGCAATTATTAGCAATTATTAGCAATTATTAAGCAATTATTAGCAATTATTAGCAATTATTAGCAATTATTAGCAATTATCAGCAATTATTAGCAATTAGCAATTATTAGCAATTAAGCAATATCAGCAATTATTAGCAAGTAAGCAGCAATTAGCAATTATTAGCAATTATTAGAGATTATTAGCAATTATTAGCAATTATTAGCAATTATTAGCAATTATCAGCAATTATCAGCAATTATTAGCAATTATCAGCAATTATCAGCAATTATTAGCAATTATTAGCAATTATTAGCAATTATTAGCAATTATTAGCAATTATCAGCAAATCTTAGCAATTATCAGCAATTATTAGCAATTATTAGCAATTATTAATTATTAGCAATTATTAGCAATTAATAGCAATTATTAGCAATTATTATAATTATTAGCAATTATTAGCAATTTAGCAATTATTAGCAATTATTAGCAATTATTAGCAATATTAGCAATTATTAGCAATTATTAGCAATTATTAGCAATTATTAACAATTCTTAACAATTAGCAATTTAGCAATTATTAGCAATTATTAGCAATTATTTATTAGCAATTATTAGCAAGTATCAGCAATTATTAGCAATTATTAGCAATTATTAGCAATTATTAGCAATTATTAGCAATTATTATTAGCAATTATTAGCAATTATTAGCAATTAGCAATTATTAGCAATTATTAGCAATTATTTAATTAGCATTATTATTAGCATTATTAGCATTATTTATTAACAATTATTCGCAATTATTAACAATTATTAGCAATTATTAGCACAATTATTAGCAATTACTAGCAATTATTAGCAATTATTAGCAATTATTAGCAATTATTAACAATTATTAGCAATTATTAGCAATTATTAGGAAGCATCAGCAATTATTAGCAAGTATTAGCAAGTATCACAAATTATTAGCAATTATTAGCAATTAGTAGCAATTATTAGCAATTATTAGCAATTATTAGCAATTATTAGCAATTATCAGCAATTATTAGCAATTATTACCAATTACTAGCAATTATTAGCAATTATTAGCAATTATTAGCAATTATTAACAATTATTAACAATTATTAGCAATAATTAGCGATTATTAGGAAGCATTAGCAATTATTAACAAGTATTAGCAAGTATCACAAATTATTAGCAATTATTAGCAATTATTAGCAATTATCAGCAATTATTAGCAATTATTAGCAATTATCAGCAATTATTAGCAATTATTAGCAATTCTTAGCAATTCTTAGCAAATATAAACAATTATTTGCAATTATTAGCAATCATTAGCAGTTATTAGCAATTATAGCAATTATTAGCAAGTTATCAGCAATTATTAGCAATTATTAGCAATTCTTAGCAATCGTTCGCAGTTATTAGCAATTATTAGCAATTATTAGCAATTATTAGCAAGTATCACAAATTATTAGCAATTATCAACAATTATTAGCAATTATTAATAATTATTAGCAAGTATTAGCAACTATTAGTAGTTATTAGCAAATATTAGCAATTATTAGCAGTTTTTACCAATTATTAGCAACTATTAGCAATTATTAGCAATTATTAGTAATTATCAGCAATTATTAGCAATTATTAGCAATTATCAACAATTATTAGCAATTATTAGCAAGTATCACCAATTATTAGCAATTATTAGCAATTAGCCAGCAATTAAGCAATTATTAGCAATTATTAGAGATTATTAGCAATTATTAGCAATTATTAGCAATTATTAGCAATTATCAGCAATTATCAGCAATTCTTAGCAATTATCAGCAATTCTTACCAGCAATTATTAGCAATTACTAGCAATTATTAGCAATTATTAGCAATTATTAGCAATTATTAGCAATTATCAGCAATTATTACCAATTATTAGCAAGTATCACCAATTATTAGCAATTATTAGCAATTATTAGCAATTAATAGCAATTATTAGCAATTATTAGCAATTATCAGCAATTATTAGCAATTATTAGCAATTATCAGCAATTAGCAATTAGCAATTATTAGCAATTCTTAGCAATTATTAATTATTAGCAATTATCAGCAATTATTACCAATTATTAGCAAATATCACAATTATTAGCAATTATTAGCAATTATTAGCAATTATTATAAGTATTAGCAATTATTAGCCACTATAGCATTAATTATTAGCATATTACATGATTTATAGCCATCAGCAATTATTAGCAATTAGGCAAATTAGCAATTATAGAGATTATACATTATAGCACTTATTTTGCAATATCAATTAGCATTATTAGCAGCATTAATTCAGCAATTCTTGCAATTATTACAATTCAGTTATTAGCAATTATCAGCAATTGCAATTAACAATACTCTTAGCAATTATTAGCAATTATTAACATTATTAACAATTATCAGCAATAATTAGCAATTATTAGGAAGCATTAGCAATTATTAGCAGTATTAGCAAGTATCACAAATTATTAGCAATTATTAGCAATTATTAGCAATTAGCAATTATCAGCAATTATTGCAATTATCAGCAATTATTAGCAATTATTAGCAATTCTTAGCAATTCTTAGCAAATATAAACAATTATTTGCAATTATTAGCAATCATTAGCAGTTATTAGCAATTATTAGCAATTATTAGCAATTATCAGCAGTTATTAGCAATTATTAGCAATTCTTAGCAATCGTTAGCAGTTATTAGCAATTATTAGCAATTATTAGCAATTATTAGCAAGTATCACAAATTATTAGCAATTATCAACAATTATTAGCAATTATTAATAATTATTAGCAAGTATTAGCAACTATTAGTAGTTATTAGCAAATATTAGCAATTATTAGCAGTTTTTACCAATTATTAGCAACTATTAGCAATTATTAGCAATTATTAGTAATTATCAGCAATTATTAGCAATTATTAGCAATTATCAACAATTATTAGCAATTATTAGCAAGTATCACCAATTATTAGCAATTATTAGCAATTATTAGCCATTATCAGCAATTATTAGCAATTAACAGCAATTATTAGCAATTATTAGAGATTA